TACTAGGAACAAGGACATCGCTACTAGGGGCTCCTGGCCTCGCTACTAGGAACAAGGACATCGCTACTAGGGGCTCCTGGCGTCGCTACTAGGAGCAAGGACGCTACTAGGGGCTCCTGGCATCGCTACTAGGAGCAAGAACGCTACTAGTAGTTTCTTGTTACTGGTAGCGATGGCCCCCCAACCTAGTGGCGATGGCCTCCAACCTAGTAGCGTCCTTGTTACTAGTAGTAATGCCCTGTTTGATCCAAAACGCACAAATATTGGCCAAGTCTTTTGGTGTGTTCTTTTCGGCTGAGACTTCCATGGGTAGCTTTCACTTTGCCGACGCCGACATGGCCACAGATTTGCCTCCCTGTAGACCTCCGGTCCAAGCCAGTCTACAGTTAAAACCTAAGCCCTAGCTTTACCTGGTTTTGTAGTGTAAAAATCCTTAGTAAAGCAATGGTTCCTTGGTAAAGACCATTCCCTTGGTTGTTGGAATCCGCCCCACCACAAAGCGGATCGAACGGACCACCGCTGCGAACGGTTGCAGAAATCACGTCCAACTCAAAGGGTCCAAGCAGCCCAAGAGCCCAGCTCCCAGAAGCCACACACCAATCCTCGAAACGTACGAAGGACGGGCATACGACTAGGGCCTCCTGGCCTTTCTACTAGGAGCAGGGACGCTACTAGGGGCTCCTGGCACCGCTACCTAGAGCCCTACAGTAGCTTCTTGTTACTAGTAGTAAGGCCAGGAGCCCCTAGTAGCGACGCCCTTGCTCCTAGTAGCGATGCCCTTTGCTACTAGTAGCGAACCTTGTTACTAGTAGTGTTCATGAAAGGCCAAACAAGACCCCAGACATGACAGCCAGTTGCACATCCTGAAGATGCTCAAGCTGCGAATGCGTCCCATCCGTCAAACGCCCCGTGGCCATCTGTGGGCCCGGCGTAGTTCCCGCCCATCTGGATCGGCCAATTCTCGATCCAACTCCAACGAATGTCGACTTAAACAATTCTCAAAGTCTTTCTACACTCTATGGCGGCACCATGAATCTGTCTGCCTGGTCGAATTCGGATCAAAGGTTGAAGAGTTTCTTTCTAAGCACAGGGTGGAGCGCTAGTAGGTTGAAGGCCATCGCTAGTAGGTTCTTTTTTGAAGAGTTTGTTTCCACACTTCGTCTCACTCCTCCGCCCTCAACCGAGCCACGTGAGGACCGACTGAAGACAAGGTCCCAGTCCTTGCCGAGAGATGAGCTGAAAGGCTGAACAGTGTCCTTATTGGGGCTTGGCCCGCTGCCCTCCTAATACTTAAGTAAGGAAAACATTTGCTACTGAGACGCTACTAGTAACTGGACGCAGGATTTCCGTCCTAGATGTTTAGGGATTCCGTCCTTGCCTTCAGTATAGTTATGGTTAGCTACTTAGCTGTTTATATAGATTAATTGAAGTATGCTTAACTAGCTTCTGGGCGGGGGGGTTCAAGAAACCCCCGCGCTATTCCTTTACTTCTTATATTTTTGGACATGTCTTTTTTAGAAGATGGTGCGAAGATGGAAGGCTGGGATAGTTGATCCTTGGGGGCTGAGCGGCCGAGCATCGCGAAACCCCGGTGTTTGAGGCTCACCGTAACGTACCAAGCTTGGTGATGACACAAAACCAACACGCCGATCGCACCAAAAGAAACCAATGTCGACAGATTTGCAGTTTGTGCACAAAGAGTTGCAGGTCCAAGCTTGCCATAGGATGAATTTAGAAGTACACGGTTTTACTTTGTTGATTCCTCCTTCGTCAGGTGGAGGCCGTCGCTGGTAGGTTGGAGGCCATCGCTCTTAGGGTGGAGGCAACGAGGTTGGAGGCCATCGCTATTAGGTTGGAGGCGATCGCTGTTAGGTTGCAGGCCATCGCTATTGGGTTGGAGGTTATCGCTATTAGGTTGGAGGCCATCGCTATTAGGCTATAACGACCATCGCTATTTGGTTGGAGGCCATCCCTGTTAGGTTGGAGGCCATCGCTAGTAGTTTGGAGGCCATCGCTAGGGTTGGAGGCCATCGCTATTGGGTTGGAGGCCGTCGCTATTGGGTTGGAGGCCATC